CCCCACAGAAAATTTAAGTTCAAGAACACGAAGTAAACGACTTTTAATAATCACTTAACAAAAGAAGCAAAACAACTGACAAGTATACAACACCATACAGTCAACTCAGTAAGATATATGACATAAATGATAAATATGAATTGATGTTAGATATTTTGAAAATATTAAGCACATCCTGCTTCAAATGTGTCACCGAGTCACGATAGAATTGCTTAATTTTGAAACCTGAAGTCTACAACAGAGGAATTGACATTCCCATAACATGTTATCGAATATTTCTTCCCAAAATAGTTACCTAATTCTCGTTATCGGTAAAAAAATATTAATGCCATAATACTGGTATGCGTGGAGTGCTTACAAATGGTTTGTAACTTGCCGTACCATACGTTTTTAAATTAGAAAAGGATTTGACTGAACGTTCTAATGCAGTATATTATGTATTTTTTTATACAATTGACTTGGCTAGTTAATTAAACATAATTTAGTGACCATTTATAAAGTGGTAATTTTGGTGTCATCAATCATAACTGGCTATAATTCGCACATATTGTGCCACAAAATATTAGTGATAATATAGCTGTGGAGAGTTGTTGATTATTTGGTGTAAAACAGCCTAAGGTGTGTCTTGGTCGGTGAGTTTTGATGTGTACAATCGCAGTTGAAAAAAGTATGCTTTATACCTAACATCATTCAATGAAACATGACCTCTACTCTGTTTATTCAAACATTTGATTTGTTTAAAAACAACTGCATAACGATGCCCAAATCTAAATATTGTTAGGTACTATTGCATGGGCAAAGTTGCCTTAGACAATGCTAATTTCACGAGTAACCGCAATTTCGTTGAAATCACATACAATTTCATCGACAGGTCGCCAGATATAGAGGCCCTTATGATGGCTACTATTTGACTTTTACCCAGAAAAGTTGCCAACTTGTACCATAAGCCCTGATGTACGATTGACAAAACTAGATTTCAATAGATGGCACTCTCTACAGATCCACACGCATTCCCGTATACATATTGTTCTATTTACGAGTGAATTAACTTATAAATATGTATATAGCATATATGTTATGCTTTCAGTGTCCATATTTCGATGATGGCCGTTACAAATTGACACTAAAACACAAAATAAAATGTTGTGAAGAAAGATAATAGGTACACTTATTATTATCTAATTATTATATATGAATTAATAAAAGGTTCAAACATGACATCAAACATACACACTGTACAAATCAAGAGCGTATATTGATAAACGAACTTATCATTTTCAATATGTTCTATATGATGTAGAAAACACTCACAAATTATCGCAAAACAATGAAAATATTAATTCTGAGTAAATCAAGATAACAATAACAACGTAAATTCATAATGTCACTAGATCGATCATATGGTCATTGCCAGAGCTGTGCTGCTAGAACTGGTGATGACTAATAAATGTACAGCAGTTGAGGGGAAAATATAATTTGGTCCTCTCGAAATAAATCCATATGTCATGATAGAAGCTAGTTGTTTGAAAATGGCGAGTGACTGACTGTTGTACCAACAGTAGTATACAACAGATCTACTAGTCTGAACGCTATCAATTATGGAGAAATATCTGCATGTACAACATTTATCTCAGAAGCCAAATTTAACACTTCTTTCTGTTTGGGTGTTTCCATATTGTTTGTGTTTTTGAACATGTTTGTTTCTTCATTGTAAAAGTTTCGTAGAAATCAATGACGCATTTTATAAAAAAATAAGTATTATTTTCCCGAGCCCGGCGTGGTGAACGAATATTTTTTTCCGATAATTTGTCGTTGTTGGCAAGATGATTACAGTGTTTAACCCCCCAAAAAACTGTTCTGAGGTAGTCCTCGAGTATGAGCCCATCCCTTACTTTTCCTTTACGTGTTCATGCCTCAAGGCTTATGATCAGAAAAGTACGGTAGACTGTGAAGATTCAGGTCAGTCCAGTGTGAGTGATGAGAATCTATCAGACGTCGATGATGCCCATTTTTCGGATGATAGTTTTATCTCAAATTACGCTGAAGTCTTTGAACAATCTGCTTAGTGTTCCTGTGACAATTGTCCCATTCATTTGCCAGTGCAATCGGTGAATACATAGACGATAAATGTTGTTTCCAGTACTGCTCCATGTGTGAAAATTATTTC